TTTTTTTTTTTTTTTTTCATATTTATCAATCAATATTTTTTAATAATAACATAGATTTAGATTTAAAACAATTGCGTGAGAGAAAAAATATATCTAAATGTATACAAATTTTATTAGCTAAAATTAAAGCTCGAGGGAAAAAAGAATTGGTACCACTATTCGTTTTATAATGAGGGACTAAAAATAAATCTGAATTACGTGTAATAAGATATGGAATTCGAAAGCTAATTTCAGACAACAATTCTGGACACACAATATTGAAATTAATAAGATCATAGACAAACATAATATCAGTTAATTTTCGTCTAAGTGAAAGAGAAACAAGGCCAATATAATCTTGAGTTAGATGGAGAGAGTCCCTAGATAATGGAATATTTGACAAGTATGAAATCCTTTTTAAAAATTTATATTGTACATTGTCCAAATCATTTATATATGTCAAGTATTTGCATGACCAGATTACGGAGCCGAAATCAAGATTGGATCTAACTAAAGATGTATACAAGGTTTTTAAGCATAACGGATTTTTAAAATCTTTAGTATTTCTATTAATAAAGCCTAACATCTTAAACGATTTATTAATTATCATATTATGGTTCGTTTTAAAAGAAAGATCACTTTCAAAATAAATACCAAGATCTTTGATTACATTTACTCTAGTGAGAGAACACAATTCAATATTATAGTTAAAAAAGATAGGATTTTTTTTACGTGTAAATGTTATCGTATGACATTTATCAATATTTAATGGTAATAAATTTAATTTACTCCATAAATGAAATTTATTAAGATTATGTTGAAGAGATTCAGCATCACTTGAAGAATTAACTGTACAGAAAATCTTCGCATCATCCGCAAATAATAAAATGTTTATAGAACCATCAAGGACTAGTGGGAGATCATTAATAAAAATTAAAAATAGTAAAGGGCCTAAATGGCTGCCCTGAGGAACACCTGATAAGACAGGATAGTCATCAGAAACGTAAGACATAATTTTAACTACTTGAGTACGATCAGAAAGATACGAAAATAACCATTGTAAAAAGTTCCCACCTATACCAAGACTTTTTAATTTATGATATAGTAAATTATGATTCACCTTATCAAACGCCTTTTGAAAGTCCGTATAAATAGTATCCACTTGGAAGCCTTGATCAAGAGCTTTTACAAGATAATTATGATATAATAATAAATTAGTTTGAATCGAATGTTTTGGTACAAATCCATGTTGAGAAAAGCTTATATTATTGCACAGTAAATTTGATAATTTTTTTGAGATAATTGCTTCAAACATTTTTGGCAAAATTGACATTTTCGAAACTGGCCTATAGTTTTTCACATTTTGTTTGTCACCTGATTTATGTATAGGAGAAATAAAAGATTTTTTCCAACAAAGAGGAAATGTTCCACTGGACAGAGACAAATTAAATAAATAATACAAAGGTTTAACGAGAGTTTGACAACACATTTTCAAAAAAATTGTAGGAATTCCATCGGGTCCAATACTTGCCTTGTCATTAAGTGAACCAATATAATCTATAATTTCGTGTTCATGAATAATAAATGAATTCAAATTAAAATTATGAAACTGATTATAAAATAAATCATTATTGTAATCGTCTGTTATATTAGTTGTGCTAGTTGTGTATACTGATGAAAAATATTTAGCAAATAACCCAATGGTATCATTCATATTATTCGCAGAATTATTGTCCAAAAATACTGAAAGGGGAATATTAGAACGATTAGATCTCAAAGATTTAATATAATTCCAAAACGACTTCGGGTTGGTATTAATATTATTTTCAATTTTTAACAAATGATTTGCATGAATTTGAGAAGACAATTTTTTACAATTACTACGTAAGTTAGAAAAAAATATGTAATCTGAATGTGAATTAGTAATTTTATATTTTTTATGTGCCTGTTTTTTTAGTTTAATTAAATTTCTCAAAATAGGATTGGACCGATATAAACTACGCGAATCATAATGATTTAATTTAATTTTAGGAACAAACATATCAAACGAGTGGGATATAATTTCATTTAGTTTAAGAACCGCTAAATCGACATTAAGATTTATCAAATTAGACATTAGATCAATGCTATTAAGAAACAGATTAACATCATTATAATTACATGCATTAAAATTAAAAACAACTGGACATGATGTTTCGGAAAGAAATTCAGGTGTAGAAATGGATAAAATAAAATCTAATGGTGGGTGATAAGAGTCAATTAACGGTGTAAGTGAACTACCTAGACGTATGTGTGAATTATGTGCGCAACAGTCAGGAACAAGCGAAAATGCGAAATGTTATACCTAAACGCACGCAATGTACGTTGGTTCCTGCCTGTATACTTTCGTTTATATTTATAAATAAATCTGTGTTAAACCGTATAGGATGTCAATAAAGTTTAGAGATAAATTAATAGGTTGGTACAAACTACTATACCTATCACACATATGTCGATAAATCCAAACAAAGTTCTCCGATTCACAAACATGGTTTAGACACGGTCTATGAAGAATCATAATATGTACCAAAACTAGTGGAAATAAAAAGGGGTATTAGGCAATTGTTATCATGATATATTTTACCAACTCGTTGGTCTTTGTCTCTTCACCAGATATAATATTATGTAAACAGCTATAGTCATTTTCATAAGCCTTACCAGGGGCCTAAGCTCGGTAGGTGTTAAGCCCACTCAAAAAAAAAAATAACAAAAAATTACTCATAGACTATCCAAAATAAAAAGTTATTTGATGCTTAATATCAATCAAAAATAATAAATAAAAAAGACTGGAACTCAATATGCTGCATTTTAGGATTCAAGTATTCCTCGTCATTGAGTAGAACACTATTACAGCTACCATTACGGATAGTATGTTAAATTAGAATTCAATGAATAATATTTAATAAAACGAGATTTAATAATGAACGAAAACGGTGTTCCATAATTTATTTCTAAGGCTATTTTTATTACTTGGTGTTAAATTTTTCTACAAGTAATACGGTATGTTGAATTCATATTTACAGAAAACATCGATGTATTATAATTGACATATTATATTAGATCTCTAACAATTGTTATGGTATTATATCATATATAATTGCTATTGTAACTTATAAGTCAATACCGATGTACCCTAGAACACCGAGTTTACGTCGAATAGGATGGTTGTATAAATTAATATAGCTTAAAATTGGCGTTCCAACTTGGTGCAAATTTTAAATAATTACAATCGTTTTCAATCAAAATACCTGGCTAGTATGCCGTAAAATGGTCTAAAATGATAAACTAGGTACTTAATAACTCATTGTTGAAGCATTTAGTTAGTATATAATATAACCTCTGAAATTGTTGTATGCATAGTGTAATTGGCACAGAGTGGGGGTTGCAGATAAAACACATTTAAATCAAATTCAAATTTACGCGCAATGTATTATTATTATGTACCGGTGTTGTGGTGTATACGAGTAAGTTCGACATGGAAACCCATTAGCTTAAACGATCCATAGTATACCTCCCGCGAGCATTATAATATTTACTACATGTATATATTGCACAATATAATATATAATATATACACCACGCACGGATTATCGAGCTGCGGATTTGCATATTATTTTCTTCGAATAGTTCAGTTCCCATAAATAGACAGATCAAAAGGAAATTTCATCGGAGATAGTAATACTATTATTATTATTACATAGCAATACCTATATTTTGCATTTGTTGTTCACGGATTGAATTATTTTATTATAATTTTATTATTTCGGGACACTCTCAGTGAGTATATTCTATATAGATACCTACGTGTTTTATCAAAAACCATGAGTTATGTTCAATTACTGTACTACTTTTAAACTTGTAGTTCGTTAAAATTCTGTTAAGTCGATAACATTACAAAAGTAGAATTGCTGATATTATTCTTTTTATTATTGCATTAAAATATGAAGGATAAAATTCAATTTTGAAGAATTCATTCTTTTAGATAACGTAAGACGCACAATGCCTCAAGAGACTAAAAGTAAATTAGTAAATTTAATTTCTACAGGTCCTCGGTACGAACAAAAAATATTTTTAGGTATATTTTAAGTTTCGCTTATGATATTATTATACCGATCTATTATTTCGAAACCGTAAACCAAAGTTTTCGAGCACAAAAATATATACGCATATGCTGTTCAATTGAAGTTCAGAGCTTAACACCAGGATCAAATAGGTTAGGGTTTTGGGTATCTAGATGTACTTTGATACCGGAATTACAAATTAAAAAGCTTTTTGTTGAAGCGCATAACCGTTATTATACAGGTTAATATTGATTGATGTGGACGTTAAGTAGTTTAATAGGAATTAAATTTGAATGCTATATTGATACCAAATCTTTTAGATTGTACGATATTTCTTAAAATATTATTTGAACTCGGAAAATATTATTATTTATTGGTTAATGGTACTTGTCAATGAATGGATTGAAATGTCAAATGAAGCATAAACACTAAGATGTGTGGACATTGGGAGATATTTAATAACTAATACTTATTGATTATAAAATTATTCCTTTCAATTATTATTATTATACCATAATATAACAATAAATTGTAATGTATAAAATTATACGGATTTCAGGTGTTGAATTTTTAAGGTTTTTAGGAGGTTCCAGGATTCGGGGATTCCGATTAATTTGGGTGCAAACCCTTGATTCAAATAAATGTCAGTTTTTTACAAGTTCGAAAATATTCAAAACTTAAACGATTTTCGTAAAAAAAATATCGTTATTTTCAAATAGGTAGTGAGAACTTACCGGATATGTCGTCTCTGCCCGAGTCTTGGCCAGAGTCCGGAGATGAAGAGCTGTGGTTGCTGGTGCTGTTATCATCAGTGGACGAAGATCCACCACACCCAACGACCCCTATGCCGCTGCCTCCTCCCCCAAAACGGGTCTCCAGTTCGTCAATGCGCTGGGCAACACTAACTGCCCGAGCTCTGTCCGTTTCATCGACCGCAGCAGCTTGAGGATCTAGTTGTCTGATGGTTGATGTGGTGGAAACGGTGGAAGTGGGGATGACAGATGGAGCCTGTACCGGTTGCTGTTGCTGTTGGGGTGGTGCGACGGACATCCGGTGTTGTACTTGCTGGAGGTTATTGTTGATATTATTATGATGATGATGTAGGAGATGGTGGTGTTGGTTGTTGTTGACTTTACTCTCGTTCCCAACAATATCCGTCACCGGATAAGAAGTTGTTCTGCTGAGTAAGAGTGATGGCAGTCTAGAGGGGAGTTTTGCTTCGTGGGGTGGTGGCTGCTGTTGTTGCTGATCTTTGACCCCCACGGGTTCTGTTGGAGAGCCGGCTGTAGGAGCAGACGACTGTTGTGGCTGGGGTGGTGGTGGTGGGGGTGGTGGTGGAGGGGGAGGCGTCCCTTTGGTCGTTGATATGCTCACAGATCTCACGCTGTCCAACAAATGTTCGCCACTTCTAGAAAAGTGAAAAAAAATCCAATTAAATTATCAAAGATAATATACACCTCAAAACATATCGTACAGAATACTTCTATTACTGTGCGAAATAATGCAAACTGTAGTATTACTATAGGTCCTACTGTTTGTTTCGACGACACAGTTACATCCGGTTAAGACCACTTATCCACTTATGGAAACGATTAACCGATTAACTGAACTCGATGCTTAGTGTAATTGACAGAAATATAATAATGAGTATAGACCAGAACAAATCATTTAAAATAAAAATTTTCTTCTATATGGATGGTGAATAGTTTATGGTGGAAATTCAGATCCTGATTGGGCCGTTAAACCAAAGAAAAAAAGGAGAAGATACACACATATATACTTAGCATCATATTTATCTTAAGTGCTAGATCACCTGAGGTCAATGTGACACATTATAACATTTATGACACTCACTTGGCGTTGCTACCGAAAGTGGATCGCATGGATGTCGAACTCGATGAGTTGTCGGACTCAGACGAGTCCACCAAGTTGCCAAACCCAGACTTGACCGGCGCTCCAGCAATGCCACCGTTGGGTATTCGCGGCGGTGGAGGCGTTAGGTCTTTTTGAAGCGGAGCTGGTCTGCTGTCGGTGTAGTATGCACGACCACCACCAGCTCCTCCTAGGCCCCCGTCTTCCAAAGATGGGTCTGGTTGGTGATACTGAGGTATGTGGTGGTGGTAAGCGTTTTGCCTTGGCGGCGGTGGTGGCGTACAATTCTTGACCAGTGGCGGAGGAGGTTTAGGGGGTAACGCTGGTTTTCCAACGGTCGGAGGGCTGCCGGCCCGGTCCATGCCGACCGGTTGTTCAGACTCCGAAGCAACCACCGCCGCTAACCTATTTGGTTGTTTTGATTCTTTAGATACTACTTGGTTCGCCGCAACGGAATTTAACACTTGGGGCTGCACCGGCTGTACTTTGGTCGAAGACGTCTGATAAATTGGCGACACGCTGCTCGTCGGTTTCTGTGGAAAAATTGGTTTCTGCATGTTTTTATTTTAATAAACACAATAATATAATAAAGCGTATGATGGAAAATTACATTACGGCAGTGGCGCACCACGCTTCAAAGTTATTACAAATTATTCCCCTAAATTAAATTACGAGATATTAAATTAAGTTTGTCTCGATTTTCGTGAACTACACTCTCATACTGAATTATATGAAAGAAAGACCTGTAGGCTCTCATAAGACTCGACTCGAATTGACGGACTATTACAACCACTGCGATAAGGACGATATTATTAATCGTCGTAGAACGCCGTAATCCCTCTATATAACGATTATTCTGACGTTAAACGCGTACAACAGCACAATAGTCTTGATTAATACTCTAAATGATTCATTTTGATACTCCGTCTTTCATTTGCACCAAAATCCGGGCAAAATAAAATAGGTACTATTAAATCGACGTGAAAATACGGTTTCAAGTCAAATCATTAGCATAAATAAATTCGAAATAAATACGTACATGCTGTACTATACGTATTATCTTGGAGAAAAAAAATATAATATTCTAAACAATATCATATAAGATTCAATTACCTGATGATTTATTATTCCGGTTCCACCGACTGGTTGGCTTCTAGTCACCAGAACCGGAGGGTGGTGTATCGAATAGTTTAAAGGCCTAGAACATAATATTGAATGAGTATGTTATTATAAACAATATAATATGATATAGTGTAATATATAAATAATCGTTGAATGTGCCATTTTATACCTTTGAGAAACATGATTTGAAGATGAAAGTGGTTTCGTGTGATACACTTGAGCGTTTATAGGTCTGCTAGAACTCTGCATTTGTACATTTTGTCCTAGGTTTGTCAGAACTTGGCCGGCCAAAACTGACTTTTTACTTTGAGCCGTCCCGTTAAGTTTTTGATCGACTCCGTAACAGCTGGTATTGTTATTGACTAGGTCTCTATTAATGTCCTCGGACATGTCTTCGTGTTGACCGAACCACTGTTGATGCTGGTTCTGTTGTTGCTGTTGTTGCTGCTGCTGCTGCTGCTGCTGCTGCTGCTGATGCTGATGCTGCTGTTGCTGTTGCTGCTGTTGCTGTTGCTGCTGTTGCTGCTGCTGCTGCTGATGATGATGATGATGATGGTGTTGTTGATGTTGTTGTTGCTGATGTTGATGGTGCTGCAGCGCTGGTTGGTTTCCACTGTAGTTGGCCAATGGTGAGAATTTGGTATTGTAGGGTAGTGTCTGGTACTTAGGGTCAAACTTGCTACCGCCAAAATACGGTAGGTCACCTGGGTTACCGTTACTCTGCTGTTCAATTTTGTAGTTATTATTTGATGACTGGTACTGTTGTTGGTATGGGTCCACCATTGGTTTCTGGAGCAGAGGCTGCTGGGATAGAGACTTAAGCTCAGGCCTGCCGGACCGTCCACCATATGACTGTGGGTCACCGTCGACCGTCGCGTGGCTAAGTATGTTATCCTCGGACTTTCGTAACATTGAATTCTTGCTCATCGCGTCTGGTATGTGATTAAACGGTTCGATGGCCGCAACATTTCCACCACCACCGTTCATTTTTCCATCGCACAACGGCATCATTTGTTTACCTGGTCCACCCAGAGATCTAAAATAAAAATAAAATGTACACGTTAGTATAATCATTGTTTGATAGTTTGCATACATATGATAAATATTTTAAAATCTAAAATTAATCCTAATAGTCGACGGGGTACATAAAGTTATAAATTATATTTCAATCACATTATTTAAGGAGGTGCAATTAAACATATGTTTGGCCTACTGCATATAACTGATAAATCACCATAGTGACGTCGCCGCAATGAATGTTCATTTATAAATATACATTAATAATTTACAGTATTTCAGAAACTAAAATGTAACTAGATGGCCCATCTGGCAAGATTTCGTGGAATTCCTTTTTAACATTATTATGTTTAAAATAGTTACTAGCCTGTTATTTGGGCCTGGTTTGTTAGCCTGGATTTGATTGGCCAGCTGTTGGTTGAGCAGTCTCTTCCTGTGTAACCTAGCTTGTAGTTCCGATATTCGCCGGTCAATGGATGCCATTTCCTCTTGTCTTTTGGACAGAACCTCACGTTGTTGTACCAACCTGGCAGTTTGCTGTTCACCCAATTTATTCCGATACTTCAAAATTTAAAAAAAAAATAGATTAGCATTATATTATATATATATATATATATTCTAGCTGATCTTGTGCACTTTGTTGCCCGTTAAATTTAAAAATCGCCTATTTGCAAATATCAGAATTTAAATTTATAAATTTATAAGGCTATAACTAAAATTATAAATAATAATAACACTCACTAATAACTCGGCTCGTAGTTTGTCGAGTTCTATGGAGGCCGGAGATGTAGGCTGTGCATGACCTCGTCCTTTATGGACGTCTTCCAGTTGCCTAGTTAGTTCATCCACTTTAGCCACAGCCATTGTTAGTTCTTTTTCTTTTTCATTAAACAAGGCACGGATCGATTCCAAGTCAGACGCTGAAACAACAAAGTGAAATGTCTAAATGTGATAAATGTGTTATATTTGTAGAATTAAATAATGTGAAACTCGATTGCGCTTGGGCCCCGGAGCAAAAAACGAAATAGTCACGTGGTAGGTTTCAACCGGGAAATCTACCTTTGGGCTAATCTCAAACTGTCACAATTTTTCAAAACTACTATCCAGCAAAAAACATTTTCAAATCCCTTTGTGACCTGTCAAAAACTTGTCATATACTGTACGCTTGACAAAGCGAAACATATTTATACTATCGGGGATTCAAGGTAAGTTGTAGCCATGTATAAAATGAATTGTAGTTATTTGTCAGGGATCTAGAAATACAGCGATTTCCTAATTAACACTGCGATTAATTCGATGCTCCCTTCGGCCGCTGATAAAACAGCTTCACCACATACATCATAAGTAAACTAATGTAATTAAACTTAAACTTGTGCTTACAAACTGCTATACAATCAAAAAATATAATCCACCGTTAATACTTAAGAATCACATATTCCATTTTCTTCGATTGCTAGGTACATCAGAGATAATTAAGAACGATTAATTATTATAATGATATTTTTTGCGAAATAGGTAAACCAAATGTACGTCTACTTTCAAACTACTGCATTTTATTGAAATCGTTTAATCGTGAAATGAAATTAACCGTACTTGACACTTTTTTATAGGATACCGAATGAGTAAGCAATAATAAACCAAATTGACAAAGTTGATAGCGGTGTTAGCTTATGATCGGTATTTCGTGTAATAGTGAAAGATGCAGAAGTGTGTAGCATATGTGATAACGAAATTAATGAGTCGTGTAATAACTGAGTGAAAAGTAAACGTTACCCATTAATATCTGACATTGATTTTATATTGAGCCTACCTATTTAGTTATCTATTTATAGTATATTATGGTAAAAATAAAATAATAATTTTAACTTTTTTTTAATATACCAAAATGATTAATATAAAATTTATATGATTTTTACTTTCATAAAAACTGTCGAAAATCAAACGTGAAAACCAATTTATTTCTCACTTCACTAAAAAGCCTTAAATAAACCATTTTTTAGTAATTATTTAAATTACGGTCATAATATGAATGTCATTTTTATATGAGAGTTTACTAAAATATTAATAATTTTTGTTCAAAAACTGATGCCTATTATAGCAATTCATATTTTGATAAATTACAATTATATATATCTTAACAATCATTCTAGGTTATGTATTTTTTACAATATAATAAAATTCGTCAGGAACGTTGAAATAAATAATCATAATGTTAGCATCTCTACCGCAACCTATTGTATATTACATCAAAATATATTGTTTATAGATTTTCAGCAAATGTATATAGTTATGACAACAATCGTATTTTAATAAGAAACAGGAAAACGGCTTTGTATTAAAATATGTGAGATGAAATAAATAAATAATATATTTAAATCGTCTGCACGTTAGGAAATGAAAATTGTCCATCAAATAATTTGTTCAAAAAATTTTCGTTCATATTTGTAATAACTAAAAACCAGTTTCGAAAAAAATTAGTACTTGTTAAACTCCAAATTAAATGGCATACTTTCAATAATAATAATCACATCATGAAAAAAACGATAGGTACAGTCGGTGCATATTGTGTAGGTATCTACAGAAAATAAAGAGTAGGTACATAATATTATATATACATGGCGAGGGTGTAAGAAAATTATAAAAAAATGCACAATAAAACGAGTATTATATTATGTAAATATAACTTTGAAATACAAACGCATTGTTATGATAATCGTCCACTATACATGTAAAAAGTGTAATTAATATGTAATTATCGTGTCGGATGACAAAAAATAAAATTCTAAGCATTATATGTCTCATCGTTGACAATGTTTTTTCTTCCTTAACGAAATCAACAATTGGAATACTTTGTCCTCTAAGTTCGTTGTACTTTCTAATGCGGGTTGAATGGAATTTGTTCTACTCCAAAGAGCGCACCGTTATACTATTCAAAGTGTTTAAATATATATTTACATGATATGCGAGATAAAATTACAAACGTCTGATTGGAAACTATATACATATATTATATTACAATGTGTATAAGCATAATTATATTATCTAACTCCACCGCGATCTATAAACCATCTATGTTCTAATATAAAATACGTCAAGATTTTGCAAGTATTAATAAATTATTTTGTCATCTCTGTGTTTCATACATTATTCTGAACATTGAACATTATTGCGGATGCGCATGACGTGACATGTGACACGTGACTTTTAATCTACGATTATAATATTATTTAAATCAAAATAATTAATATGTATTGTATATTTAATTATAGACACACAAAATGGGTGTTGTGGGTGTTATTACTTTTTGATAAACGGAATACGTAAGTATGCGGTTTTGCAGGAGATCCATTAAACTTATTAATAATTATGTGAAATATTGCCACGAACAACTGCAGTCGTAATTACTTCGATGGAAAATTACTTTCGGAATGTCACTATAAACTTTCGAAAACCAACGACTGTACATTACGCAAATAAGTACACGTACTTTTGGCCGTATCCAGGGAGGGGAAGTGAAAAATAAAAACACCACTGTGTAACAATATAATATACGAACGTCCGACAAAATAATAAAATATACGAACGGACAAAATGTAATTAAGTATTCACATTCATTCCGAAATCAGGATAATAACTGAAAAACTTTTTAATTCCTATAAGCATCTGATATGGGTGCGCGTGTCTCTCACTCAGAGGTCGGAGACACTGGAGGTCGTATCATAGGCGCAAATATCACCCACCGTAATCGCCTGCACAACTCATATCATCAAAATGCATAACAGTTCTCAGTGGAAAGTGAGTACGAGCGAAGCGCAAAGTTGAACAGTTTTTTTATCCACGACTAAAAACTGTAAAACAGTTGAAAAATTATTTGTACCACACACGTTAGGTACCTAAAAACGTTGTAGTGTTGCGGTGGTGGCCGCCATGGATAATGGGTCGTTAAACACGAATCTTTTGGAATAATATTTGATGCATCCACATATCATAACACTTTGTCAAGTCAATCATAATATGTTCTCCCGGATATATCACCGGGCGCATAATATATTTATTTATTTTTGAATACCCGCCTAAAAATATTGCAGTACAACCAGCTATATATGTTAAAAATTGAAATGAGTCGGAAAAAAAATCATAGTCGTCGAGTGGATAGTATTGTAAAAGCTCCGGCTCGATGTAATTATTATCGTTATTATTATATTACGTATGACAACAAACCGTATGTCATCGAGTACGCACCGACCGCGATGTAAAGCACGGTTTTGAAAACGACATCCTAATTAAAATCTGATGGATAAATGATTTGAACGGTCGGCTAAGAAGGCAGAAGTGCGCTTGAAAACTTCGACGGGTGGGTTGACGTACGCACATCCCACGCATTCATCCGTCATCGTGTCACGCAATAGCCATACATATAATATTACATGGGGTGGGCCACCTGTATCAGATATAATATAAAATATTATCATATTATGTGGGAAAACGTGGTGGACAGCTCCGCAGAAAATATGAAGGAGCGCGTGTAGGGGGGAAATGCAAGTGTGTATACGTGCAAATCGTCCTCGAGATTACAAGTGGCATTCGTATTTTTTTAATATGGATACCTACACATTTTTTTGTCGTTGTTTCCGGTCGTGGCGGATCCGATGACTACGTTTTTGCCAGCAAAAATATTTGCTCAGCGTTGGGCTCGATGGTAAAAGTAGTCGCGGGCGGAGCACGATAAAGGGAGAGGAGAAGAAAGAGGTCGTACATATATATGCTGGTTTGTAAAATTCACACGCTGCGCAATAGGGATTTAAACGTTTTATAATTGCACAAATGTCTCTTTTTTGGAGTAACGCGCGTATATATAGTGTAATAGTTTCGCGAATCGGAATTACTCACGCTGCTTGCGCCCGCAGCCATTTTAAACAGAAGATTATTCGTTCGGCCATTAAGCCGGATGAAGTATAAAGAGTAGGATGGGTGACGTTAAAACAAAAATAAAAAACGACGTTTTTCCATTGCGCACGCGCGCTCGTATAGGATATGTATTTATGTATATAAATATGGGGTTTTTATAGGAGAAAAAAAAGTTTTTTAATATAAATTGTTGCTCATCCACACGGGCGCCGCCAACCACCACCATGGTCGTCACACTATTTTATACTCTCTCTCGCTCTAATACACACACGCAGACACACACACGCACACTATTCGCGTTCTCTTCCGAACACTTCTTCGCGGCTTCGTGACGTTGACAAATCACTGCCATCGCTAGCGGCTAAATTTAAAATAATTGTTCTCCCGTTGTACTCGCCGACTGCCACCCCCCCCCCCCCCCCTCACACACACAAACATACACGCAAACACACATAATATGCATGTACCTACAACCGATATGTTTTTCCAAATATATACGTATATAAGTATACTCGTATACTAAGATACGTGTGTGTGAGCGAGTCAAGGCCGGTTAAACGCACAATAAATAATCATAATGATGACGATAATATTTCGTTTGCGGTGGTAAAGTGAAGTCCACCGAAACGTTGGTTATTGTAATGTATGGAACGAGTATGTTATTTATTTCGCATAGGCCTGCCACCTGCACCTGCAGAGCGAGTGATTATATAGAACGCACTTATTTCAGCTGGACATTGTAAAAGTATATTGTGACTCAATACTTCAAATCCGACTTGTCACGATACCATGGTATATAATATTATATACTATATAGGACGATATTGTTAAAAATTAACTCATATTTTTCAACAAGCTTTCTGATTTTACCATTTCATACAGCCACGTGTGTCCATATCTTCAAGGTATATAATATTATTATGTCCAAACGACAAGTTGTCACAAGTATGACGGCATACGGTACTCGTAATTTTAAGATAAAATTTGTATATAAAATCTGGTAAAAAAAAAA